AATGGAGGTTTTGGTGGAATGCAATTAAGAGGAGACTGAGAAGGCCAGGTGCAGTGGCTCATACCTGTAATCCCAGCACTTTGGAGGCCAAGGCAGGAGGATTGCTTGAGCTCAGGAGTTCAAGAGCAGCCTGGGCAACATGGTGAAACCCTGTCTTTACAAAAATGCAAAAATTAGCCGGGTGTGATGATGTGTGCCTGTAATCCCAGCTACTTGGGAGGCTGAGGCAGGAGAATAGCTTGAATCCAGGAAGCAGAGGTTGCAGTGAGCTGAGATCATGCCACTGCACTCCAACCTGGACAGCAAAGCAAGACTCTGTCTCAAAATAAATATGTTGATTAAATAAATGAAATAAATAAACCATAGACCAACTAGTTTACCAGAGAGAACCAGGGAAAGTGACAGCTAAAAGTAACCCTATTAGAGTCAGAACAAACCTCAAACACTGATCTCAACAACTATCATTGCAAAGGAGTCTGAATTTAATGGGATCAGCCTGGGGAACAATTTATGCCCTAGACCATTGTTGAAGCAATAGAGCAATCAGCCAGTAATTAGTGGAACTTAACAGCTGAGTGTGATCAGGGACAGAGATAGAGCCCTGCTAAAACCACTTTCATCCCAGGGTGACTGCTCTTGCCCTAGACTTTGCTCTCTGAAGAATGACATTAGGGACTTCATGCTGCAGAGGAAATAGACTTCACTAAACTAATCCAGCCAGTCACTAAGCAAATAAACAAGCAAATGACAATAACAAGCCCTGGGGCAAGGGGACTAGTCTAGAGTTACTATGATATATAAAATGTCCAGTTTTCAACAAAGAAAATTACAAGACATACAAAGAAACAGAAAAGTGTGATTCATACACCAGGAAAAAAGGAAACAGAAACTGTGAGAACAACCAAAGGTTTAATGGGAAAAAAACTACTTGGTAGCCATTACAAATATAGTCAAAGAATTAAAGGAAATCATGGTTAAAGAGGGAAAGGAAGGTATGATGGCAGTGTCCCATCAAATAAGAAATATCAGCAAAGAATTAGAAGTTATGAAAAAGAACAAAATGGAAATTCCAGAGTTGGAAACTACAACTGAAATGAAAAATTCACTAGAGGAGCTCAAAAGTAGATTTGAACTGAGAGAAGAAATAATCAGTTAACTTGAAGATAGATCAATGGAGATTATGCAGTCTGAAGGACAAAGAGAAAATAGAATGAAGAAAAATAGAGCCTCAGAAATGTGGTCCACCATTGAGCACACTGAGCCAATGTACTAGGAATACAAGAAGGAGAGGAGATAAAGGAGCAGAAAAAATATTCCAAGAAGTAATGGCTGAAAAATTCCTAAATTTGATGGAAACCTTATACATATAGGAAACTCAATGAATTCCAAATAGGATAAATGCAAAGTGACACACAAACAGACATATCCAGAAAAAATGCTGAAAACCAAAGACAAGGAGAAAATCTTGAAAGTGGCAGGTAATGGCTGGGAGCAGTGGTTCATATCTGTAATCCCAGCACTTTGGGAGGCTGAGGCGGGCAGATCATTTGAGGAGTATGAGACTAGCCTGATCAACATGGTGAAACCTGGTATCTACAAAAAATACAAAAAAAATTGGCTGGGCATGGTGTTGTATGCCTGTAGTCCCAGCTACTCGAGAGGCTGAGGCAGGAGAATCGCTTGAACCTGGGAGGCAGAGGTTGCAGTGAGCAAAGATTGCACCACTGCACTCCAACCTGAGTGACAGAGCAAGACTCTGTCTAAAAAAAAAAAAAAAAAAAAAATCGCTGAGCACAATGGCTCGCCAGTAATCCCAAGACTTTGTGAGGCTTAGGTGAGAGGACTGCTTGAAGCCAGGAGTTTGAGACAAGCCTGGGCAACATTGGCAGATCCTGTCTCTACAAAAAATTTTAAAAATTTGCAGAACGTGGCGGTGCGTGCTTGTAGTCCCAGCTAATTGGGAGGCTGAAGTGGGAGGATGGCTTGAGCCCAGAAGGTAGGCTGTAGTGAGCTTTGATCATGCCACTGCACTCCAGCTTTAGCAACAGAGCAAGAATGTGGAGAAAAGGGAACAGTTACCCCATTGGTGGGAATAGTACAACCTCTATGGAAAACAGTATAGTGATTTCTCAAGAACTAAAAATAGAATTACCTATGATCCAGAAGTAATTTGGGTATCTACCCCAAGCAAAATAAATCATTATATCAAAAAGATATGTGGACCGGGCGCAGGGGCTCACATCTGTAATCCCAGCACTTTTGGAGGCCAAGGTGAGTCCATCACCTGAGGTAGGAAGTTTGAGACCAGCCTGGCCAACATGGTGAAACCCCTTCTCTACTAAAAATATAAAAATGTGTTGAGTGTTCTGATGCGCGCCTGTAATCCAAGCTATTTGGGAGGCTGAGGTAGGAGAATCACTTGAATCTGGGAGGCGGAGGTTGCAGTGAGCCGGGATCACACCACTGTACTCCAGCCTGGGGAACAGAGTGAGACTCTGTCTCAAAAAAAAAAAAAAAAAAAAAAAAAAAAAAAAAAAAAAAAAGAACGAGTATTTGACAGTAAGTGACATGAGAGAAAGTGTCTTAACTTCTCAAGAGCTGTCTAGAACATAAAGGAAAGTTCTCAAACACATCAGGAAGCATCTCAAACAAGTCAGGAAGTTTCTCAAAGTAGTAAGTCTGAGGTGTAAATAATTCAGTATGTTGTGTCAAAAAGATGGAGGGGTCTTGAATACATCTGAGAGAGTCTCAGACATGTCAGGAAGGGTCTCAAGATGAGTCAGGAAGGGGTCAAAAAAGCCAGAAACGGTCTCATGAAGCAGGAAAATAGGGTCTGGAGGCAGGTAACCTAAGGCCGATTTATGCTGACTTCCTAGAACTAAATTGAAAGGAAAAACCCAACTTTCCACACCTAAGTAACAAAAAGACCAGAGGCTACTCCCTTTGCAAACCCCTGGCTTTTCTGCATGGCAGATGGAAAATCGAAAGTACCTCTGATTGGTTGCTTCCCGAAAACAATCAGACTGATTGTGGGCCATCTTTGTTTGCATAGGAGTGCAACTTTGTAGCTTCTGCAACCAATCAGACCTTTGCATAGGAATGTAACCTCTCTAACTTCACTTCAGCCTCTCATTGGTTTGCTTTCCACAGTATTTGAATGTAGTTAGGAAGAGTTTTAAAAATTTCAGTAAGGGTCTTAGAGTCAGAAAGACTTTCATATTCTTCGAGAATGATCTCAGACATGTCAGACGGATGTCAGATAGCTCAAGAAGAGCTTTAAACAATCAGAAAAGATTTCAAATATATCAGGAAGAGTCTTGAGCGAGTAGGGAAGGGTCTCACATTTGTCAGGATGTATCTCAAAGTCAACAGGAAAAGTTTTAAACAGCAAAGGTCTCAAATACATCAGGGAGCATCTCAAAAGAATGAAGAAGGAATCTCAGCTCACTACAGCTTCTGCCTCCTGCGTTCAAGGAATCCTTCCACCTTAGCCTACTGAGTAGCTGGGACCACAGGCATCTGCCACCACGCCTGGCTAATTTTTTGTATTTTTAGTAGAGATGGGTTTCATCATGTTGCCCAGACTGCTCTCGAATTCGAGCTCAAGTGATCTGCCCACCTCTGCCTCCCAGAGTGCTAGGATTACAGGTGTGAGCCACCACACCCAGCCCAGAAGACCTTTTAGATATGTTAGTAAGTGATATGGTTTGGCTGTATCTCACCCAAATCTCATCTTGAATTGTAGTTCCCATAATCCCATGTGTCGTGGGAGGGACCCAGTGGGAGGTAATTGAATCACAGGGGTGGTTACATCCATGATTGTGAGTTCTCATGAGATCTGATGGTTTTATAAGGGGCTTTTCCACTACTTTGCTCAGCATTTGTCCTTGCTGCTGCCATGTGAAGAAGGACGTGTTTGCTTCCCCTTCTGCCAAGATTGTAAATTTCCTGAAGCCTCCCCAGCTATGCGGAACTGTGAGTCAATTAAACCTCTTTCCTTTATAAATTACCCCGTCTCGGGTATGTCTTAATTAGCAACGTGAGAATGGACTAACACAGTAAGGCTCTGAAAGAGTCTCAGATACTTCAGGTATGGTCTTGAATGAGTCAGAAAAAGGGTCAAAGTCAGTACAAGTTTTAAATATATCAAGGAAGGTTCTCAATAATACAGGAGGAGGCTGGACCCAGTGGCTCATGCCTGTAATCCCAGCACTTTGGGAGGCTGAGGTGGGTAAATCACTTGAACCCAGGAGTTAGAGACCAGGCTGGGCAACATGGCAAAACCCAATCTTTACTAAAAATACAAAAATTAGCCTGGCATGATGGCACATGTCTATAGTCCCAGCTACTTGGGAGGCTGAGGTGAGTGGATCACTTGAATCCAGCAGGTGAAGATTACAGTGAGCTATGATCATGCAGCTGCACTCCAGCTTGGGCGACAGAGCAAGACCCTGTCTCAAATAGTAATAATAATAATAATATGGGAAGAGTCTCAGATTCATCAGAAAGGGTTTCAAACATACAGGGAGGCATTAACTACATCAGTCAATATTTCTAATACCCTAAGATGTGTCTCAAACATGTAATGAAGTGAATCAAACAGTCACAAATGGTCTCAACCAAGGAAGGAAGGGTCAGATATGTTAGGAAGTGTCTCAAACTAGCCAGAAATTGTCTCAAACATGGCAGGAAGGATATCACAGTTGTCAGTTAGTTTTTGTTATCTCCGGAAGGGTCTCAAACAGACAGGAAGGGTCTCTGTCAGGGGGAGTTTCAACGAGTCAAGAAGGGTCTCAAATACTTTTGGAAGGGTCACAGAGAGGAAGGATCTCAAGTAATCAACAAAGTTCTCTAACATGTCAGGATCGTCTTCTGCAAGTCACCAAGGATTTGAAACCCGACTGAAAGAGTCTTAACTATATCGGGGTGTTTCGCAAATAGATGAAGCAGGGTCCCAAACTACCTAGGAAGGGTCTCAACCATGTCAAGGATTTTCTCACACAGTCAGCAAGACTGTAGAACAACTCATGAAGGGTCTTAAACATGTGAGGAAGGATCTGAAATATGTCAGGTGTGGTCTCAAACATGTCAGCAATCATCGCAAACAAATTAGGAAGTGGCTAACATAGTCCAGAGGAGTTTTATTTTCTATTTTTTGAGACAGAGTCTTGCTCTGTTGCCCAGGTTCGAGTGCAGTGGCATGATCATGGCTCACTGCCATCTTGACCTCCTGGGCTCAAGCGATCCACTCATCTCAGCCTCTCAAGTGGCTTGGACTTACAGATATGTGCCACCATGCCTGGCTAACATTTTATTTTATTTTCTGTGTATCTCACTGTGTTGCTAGGCTGGTCTCAAATTCCTGGCCTCAAGCAATCCTCTCGCCTTGGCCTCCCAAAGTGCTGGGGTGTCAGGCACTGCATCTGGTTCAGAAGAATTTTAAATATGTAAGCATCTCACACATGGAAATAGTCTCAAGTTGCCTGGAATGGTGTTAAACATGCCAAAGAAGGTCTTCAACAAGTCTAGAAGTGTCTCCAACAAGTCAGAATGGGTCTCCAAGTTGTCCGATAGAGTTGGAAATACGTCTGAAAGGATCTGAGACAGAACAAAGCTCAAAAATATGGGAACTGTTTCAAATGGCAGGCATCATTGCAAACAAATCATTGGGAACTGTCTCAGGAAGTGTGTCAAAGTCCTCAGGACTTGTCTCAAATACATCAGGAAGGATCTCAAACATGTCCGGAAGGGTTCCGAACAAGTCAGGAAGAGGAACAAATAGATCAGGAAGAGTTTTAAATAATTAGGAAGTCTCAGACAAGTCAGGAAATGTCTCAAATACATCAGGAAGTATCTCAATCAAGTCAGAAACTATCTCAAATATGTCAGGAAGAGTCTCTTACATGAAAGGATGGGTCTGAAACAAGTTAGGAACGGACTCAAACATGTCAAAAAGGATCTTAAATAAGTTAGGAAGAGTCCCTTCCACATCAGAAAGTGTATTTAATTCACCAGACAGGGTCTGACACAAATCAGAAAGGGCTCAAATAAGTCAGAAAGAGTCTCAAACAGGTCTGAAATCTTCTCATGTATATGAGTAAGGGTCTTAGCTTAGACAAGGACAATTCATTTCTAAGGAAATGTTTTTAACCATTCTTTCATCACCACAATGATCCCGGGCCTCTATAGCTGTATGCCCTATGTATTCAGAAGTTCAGACACAGCGAGAAATGTGTAGCCATTCCATCCATCCCCTTTCTCCCTCCCTTTGTCCGCCACGGTATTTGCTTTGTGGCCAAATGAATAGAAGGCCTAGCTCTTCTGACATAACTTTCAGGTCACGGTAAAAGACCCAGTGTGTATTTCCTTCTCTGTGCATGTACATCACACCTGTTAGCTGAGATCTTCTCAACAGCAAAATAAATCCAAGGTTAGAAGCACCTAAGGCTTTTTTAAAAAGGCTTTTAAAAATATAACCTGTATTAAAATTAACAATATTTGAAAATTCTACAGAAATAAATTTAGTGGAAAAAAACTGATTGCCATCATTTATTTTTTAATAGAAAACCAAGAAAAGGTCTTGTCATGTGGAAATTCAATGTGGCATGCCTGTGATGAGCAGTTTACATCCTCTTTCGGTAGAAAATAAACACAGTGTTCAGCATGCCTGGTTCTGTACTTCCTTGTTTATAGAGGTGTCTGGGTGTCTTTATCAATCATTTATTTACTGTAAATGCTGTAATTAGATGTTGCCCAAGCTTGCCGCTAACTGCATTTTTTTAGCTCTAGGAAATGTTTCTGACTCAAAATAGAGGACTTTGTGTTTGTATAATGTACATTTAAAAAAAAAAGAAAAAAAAGAACTCCTCTTGGACTGTAGTTTTAGATAATGCCAGAGAAAATGTGAGAGTCAGCAATTGTTGGTTAAAGGGTAAGAGAAGGAAATATTTGGAAAGCCCCTGTGCCTTAAAGTAAAGAATTAAGGAAATAATACCTTGGAAGAGAACACTAACGGTTCCTCAAGTCTCAAGAATTATTGCTTGTGAGAACAGTATTGAATTACAGTTTTTCAAATTAATAACCACAATAATTAAAAATAGATGACCTAATTTGATCTCATAAATTATTTTTGAGAACCACTGACTCATGCCAAGGTGTTTCTGCTGTGAAGGCTTAGTCCTGCCCTGGTTTTTTCTCCCATTCAGCCTCAGGGGTGGGGAAGATAGTGACTGCTCCCAATCCCCCTGTCCCCTGCAGGCCCTGGCTTAGTCAGCTGAGCAGCAGGAAGAATGTCAGCAGGAAGAATGGTGTTTAGCAAGCACCTTCCAGAAACATATATATCGAGTAGTTTGTTGGTGTGTTTCTTTGAAATCGATATCTTCATCTATGGATCAAGTACTGGGGAAACAGGAATACTTAATGTAGTGAATTGAAGATGGCTACAGATTCTTTGTCCCTCTCTCCATCAGGAGGTGGAGTTTATTTCTTCCCTCATTGTATCTTGGCAGGTCTCGTGACTCTCTAACCAATAGGATGTGGCAGAAACGACACTTGTGCTGGTCCAGGCACTGAGGACTGGCAGCTTCCACTTCCTTGCTTTTGTTGCATTTGCTCTTGGGGCACTCCCTCTTGGAACTCTGCTGCAATGTAATAAGAAGTCCAAGTGTCGTGAAGAGGCCATGTGTAGGTGCTAAGGGCAACAGCCCTAGCTGAGCTCCCAGCCAATAGCATCAATTGCTTGTCACATGCGTAAGCCATTTTGGTCATTCCAGTCCAACCTCATCAAATGACTGTAGCCCCAGCTGACAGCAGATAGAGTAGAAGAACCTCCTAGCTGAGCCAAGTCAACCCACACTAGGTAACTGAAACAATGGTGTATTAGCAGCTCCTAATATTTATAGAGCACTGCCAGGCACAGTGCCAACGGCTTTGTATTCTATATTTCATTTAATTCCCCCAACAATCCTAGGATATAGGAACTATTATTACTGTGCCTGTTTGACCACGGAGGAAACTGAGCTTCAGAAAGTATAAGTATCTGACAAGGTGAGTGAAGAGTGGTGCTAGATCTCAAATTCAGGCCTGATTTCAAAGCTTAGCCTTTCCAGTGTGCCCTCCCCCTGCCCTCCAAATAATCTGCTTTAGTCAGATTAGGCAACAAAGAATTCCCATACACTCTACCAGGCAAAACCATATTGATTTATATGGAAAAACATACTTAGGGCTCAATTCAATATTCCAAGGAACCTTTTAAAAAACTTTCACTCCAGAACATTTCCAAAGATACATGCTAGTAGTATAGTATATGAACCATCTATCACTTGGTTTCAACAATTATGAACACATGGCCAATCTTGTTTCATCTATATTCTCAGCTACTTCTCCCATCCCACTATGAAATGTTTTTTTGCCATCCCTACTGAGAGATTCTTTTTTTTTTTTTCTTTTAGATGGTATCTTGCTGTGTATCCAGGCTGGAGTGCAGTGGCGTGATCTTGGCTCACTGCAACCTCTGCTTCTGGGGTTTAAGAGATTCTCCTGCCTCAACCTCCTGAGTAGCTGGGACTACAGGCACATGCCACCACTCCCAGCTAATTTTTGTATTTTTAGTAGAGACGGGGTTTCACCAAGTTGGCCAGGATGGTCTCAATCTCTTGACCTTGTGATTAGCCTACCTCAGCCTCCCAAAGTGCTGGGATTACAGGCATGAGCCACCACGACGGGCCAAGAGATTATCTTAAAGCAAATCCCAGACATTGTATATTTTCATCTGCAAATATTTATGTATCCCTAAAAGATAAAAACTGTTACTAAACATTACCACTATTACAACTAAAGAATATTGACAATTTTTTAATATCAGTCATATCCACTCAGTGGATATTTTATATATATACTATATATACTATTATATATTACATATATATATATATATATATATATATATATATAATATTGTATATATGGAGAGAGAGAGGTGGCATTTCACTTTGTTGTCCAGTCTGGATTGCAATGATGTGATCTCTACTCACTGCAAGCTCCTGTGTTCAAGTAATTCTCCTGCCTCAGCCTCCCGAGTAACTGGGACTGCAGACGTGCACCACCACGCCTGGCTAATCTTTGTATTTTCAGTAGAGACAGGGGTTCACCATGTTGGCCAGGCTGGTCTCAAACTCCTGACCTCAAGTGATCCACCCGCCTCGGCCTCCCAAAGTGCCGGGATTACAGGCATGAGCCACCACGCCCAGCTCCCAAAAGTATTTTTTTTGTAGTAGGTTTCTTCAAACCAGAAACTAGACAAGGCCCATCACTGCATGTGGTTAACCCATTTATGCCTGAGGTTGCAATTTTTTTGAATTTCAAAATCAGACCTTGGTGATGATCTTGAGCAGTAGGATATAAATAACTCCCACATGCCTAGAGTTCCAATAATGGAACACTAGGCGTAAATGTGTATGTCTCTTACATCTATTTGATAGGTTACCCCTTCCCTCTTGTATTCTTGACAATTGTTTGCTGAAAAAATTGGGACATTTGCCCTGGAAAATTTTCCCACAGTCAATATTTTGCTGATTTCATCAATCTCTTTAGGGTCATCTAATCTATTCCTTTAAACCCTGTATTTTCTTTAAGTTGGTAGTTAGATTTAGAGCCTTGATCCAAGTCAGGTTTGGTTTTTTTAGCAGGAGTACTTTGTAGGTGATACTGTGTATTTTCCATCGCATCACATCAGGAGGCCGATGGTGTCTGGCTGTCCCATTTTTAGTGATGTTAACATTAATCACTGGGTTCCGGTGTTGTTAGCCCTCCTTTCAATGTTGTCATCAACCCATAAACCTTTCATATAATGGAAAGCATTGCCTAGATCTGTTATTTCATTAGGTCTTGCAAATTTGTGAGATTCTAATTCTGTGATTTCTTCTGCCTTTATTAACTAGAATTTTTCCATAATAAATACTTTTTCCTCTCATTAACTATTTGAATACCCCCAAGTACAGTTCATATTAGAATGGCAGAAAAAAGTGCTTGATTTCTTACCTTTATTCATCAGTTTTCATAAAAATCAATTGGTTCCCTAGCATTGTCTAAAGATGAACAA